TAGTATATCACGGGTGCAGGTAGTTATGATATTTGTGTGCTTGGCTCGAAAGTAAATCATTGATGAAGATATAAATATTTGCTGTCGGAAGATATTTCCCCGGGTTCGGTCTACGTTTACTTAACTTTGATGTCTCTACATTGTTTCGGGGCCCAAGCTACTAGACAACCTAATTCCCTATAGCTCATGAAGGAATAAGCAGATGCTGGAACAGGGGTATCTGTGGTACAATCTCTCCATAACTGAGAGCTAATCGTAAGCTGACATTTTGGTTCCTCGTTCTTGACCATTTAATCCCTTCCGTAATGTCCCGCTTATGACAGTTATTTGAGTCGATCTTTATATTGTTACGAGCAGAGTCTGAGATATCTCTACACAGTGATTCAGCCAGAAGGAGTACACTAGACTATTGGTGGTTTTTCTCCCAAGAAGGTCTCACTCGTATCTCTCAGAATACTCACCGAAGCGTGCCTCAGACTGTCATGTCTCCGACAATATCTTACAGGCATAAGTTGACACCATGCTTCTAGCACATGACAACGATGCATTCCACTGATTGACTGAAGTCACAGTCATGAAACAAACCCGACTGCTAATGGGGATAAGTCAATCCAGGTAGGGGAGGTCGAGAGTTAAGATCTTCCGACTCGGTTAATTAGGAACTGCTTCGGGGCAAGCAGCTGGTCATTTGCCGGCTATACTTTTGATGTAGATTTTGGAGCAGTCGCCAAGCTCACCTCTTTACATCTTGCCGTGCGCAATCTCGCCTAAGTGAAGGTCTGAGCAACTCGTGCAGAAGTTATGCGACCTGAGGCAAGCAAGACATCGGTCACGGGATCGCTTAGTCATATCTCTGCGGGGAAGAAAGTGGGAACTACTTCTCCGTCCAGGTACTAGTTCGAAGATCTTGCCCAAATGCTGCTGTTTGAATACGTCAAGCGGGTGTTAAGGTATGGAAAACAGCCTGTTGTCTAATTATTGTGTGGATGTTTCATGGCCGCCATGGAAGTCGTCCTGTGTACTGAGCTGGTGTTTTGACTGAATGTCCTGCATGCAGTGAAAGACGGGTAGATGGTGGGGAGTCCATTCCTCGTAAAATTTATGACAGGGGCATAGGGTGAAACAGTCGTTTCCTGTATATTGTCTGTTAATCAACCAAGCTTTACAGCGCCGATATTGGACAGATAGATATTCGACAGGCATCCTGTGCAGGGTTCTCTGCAGCTGCCGCAGATGGTCTGCTAATAACGGGACATACTCCGTCCCCTGCTGATCCATCATGATGCTGGTGCCGCGGCGACCCTCGCTTCGAGATGCAGACTGAGGATGAGCAGCGCACGGATTGACTGGAATGAACCGCGTCGAAGCGAGATGCCCGTTATGTCCAATTCCACGGCTATAGTTGCCTCGTAATGGCGTGGCTGTCGAGTCCGAGCCCTGATCAGCGAACAGGGTCGGATAAACAGGGTCTTGTAGAGGGTGCAAGTGGGGAGATCGTGAGGTGGAAAGGGTTGTTATTTGAGGCTGGGGGAGACGATCGGGGACGGTCACAATAAAAGGGCAGCTGGAACAGGCTGGCACAGCAGATGAAGACCCTGGCCAAGGGTTGACAGGGCCCATTGAGAGCCGCGGACAGCGGCGAGGGGGTGCGTGGCCTGTGGATGCGGCAGAGGGAAACAACCAAACAGAGGGGTGGATGGCATTCCCACCGCCAGCCTGATCGGCCACCTTGTTCCGCCAATAGTCGGCCGTTATCTGCCACTCCGTCCCGTGCCTGGAGCGGAATAGACTCTCCGCCTACTGTATCCGGCAAGGCAGGTGGCTGCCATCCCCGATTCTGCCGGGAAGGTCTCCAGCAAGTTTACGTTCGCTCCGTCTCCATCTCTCCATCTCTCCTGGCCGATCTGGCGGCCTGGCCGTGTGTCCCTCGTTTCCTTTTTTTCTCCCATTATAATATCTTCCGTGATTTCCTTCTTTCCTTCGATTCTGTCCCTTCTAGCGTCTCTTTTTTTTTCTTTGCTTCTTTCTTTCAGCCTATTCCCGCTTGTCTGCATCTTGTTGTCAGACGCCTCCGTGTGTGTGGGATTCTTTTCCACTTCCACTTTGCTTAGGAGTCCCCTACCTTACTTGGAGGGGTTTATCAGTCGCTCGCTTAACACACTTTGCTTGGATCACATACTATATACCCTTTAATTTTCTACAGCTCGTTTAGGCGTTCAGCTTTCTTTTCTTCCCACATGGCTCGCCTTCTTTTCGCCGCCTGCAGCGCCCTGCTGCTGGCCACGCAAGCAGCCGCCGACACCTTCCCCTACAGCACCTACCGCACCGCTCCATACACCCCTCCGCAAATCAAGGTCACCAAGTCCGGCCAAACAGACCCGGGATACATCTTCGTCGGTCCCCGTGGAAATCAGCCGCAAGGAACGGCTGCCCTGATATACGATGAGGACGGCCACTTGATCTACCAGGGGCCGGAGGAGGTAACGGCCAACTTCAAGGTGCAGAAACTCTTCAACGAGGACGTCATCACCTTCTGGGCCGGAAACATGATGGACCTGGGTTTTGGATACGGCACGGTTCATATTCTTGACAACACCTACCGCGAAATCTACACCGTCACCCTCCAGGACAACTTCGTCTCGCCCGACGGCGCCCCCAGGGATTCGTACATCGATCTACACGAGAGTCATGTGACGGATCGCAACACTCTCTTGGTCACGGCCTACAATGTCACTCAGCATGACTTGTCCTCCATCGGCGGCAAGGTGGACGACTATATGCTCGACGGCATGTTCTTCGAAATCGATATCGCGACCAACGAGATTGTGTATCAGTGGAGCGCATTGGACCACCTTCAGGACATCCCCCTCGAGGCCTCCAAGCAGGGTTTGGGAGCAGATCAGGGGACGCAGGACAAGCCCTGGGACGCTTACCACATCAACTCCGTCGAGCTGATGGATGAAGGATACATCATTTCGCTGCGTCACTACTGGTCCGGTTTCTATGTTCACAACAATGGATCAGTGATGTGGCAGCTCAGTGTAAGTGGAATCATGTTCGCTCTGGTTGTAACCTACTTGCTAAAATCTGATAGGGTGAACGCAACGCCGGCGACTTTGAGATTGATGACGGTGCCATCTTCTCCTGGCAGCACGACATCCGTGTCTACCACCAGACGGAAGACAGCATGCAAATCAGCTTGTTCAACAACGCCAACACACCCACGGATACTGTCGACGCAACCACCGGCTTGAATCTGCACGTTGACCTGGCCAACCGCAAGGTGTCCACGCTGCGCACGCTGAAAGACTCGAGTGACGTGATACACAGTGTCAGCCAGGGCAGCTACCAGCTTCTCAGTGAGGAGACGTCTCACGTTGTGCTCGGTTACGGTTCCATCGCGAAAGTCAAGGAGTATGACGCCCACAACAACGAGGTGATGACGGCGCAGTTCGGTGACGACAATGCGGTGGCGTCTTACCGCGGCTACAAGTGCCAGTGGAAGGCGACCCCCTTCTGGCAGCCCGCCGTGGCAATCGTGCGGACGACGTCGGATGCGGCTACTCTGTTTATGAGCTGGAACGGAGCTACGGAGTATGACAACTGGGCCATCTACACGGCCTCGTCGGCAGATGCGGTTGACCCGACATTTGTCACGTCGATCAAGCGCAACGGGTTCGAGACCACGGCGCATGTGACGGGACTGCGCACCAACTGGCTCCAAGTGGTTGCTCGGAAGGGTAACATTCCTCTGGGGACATCCGCCATGGCGTACTTCTAGACAGTGTTCTGACGCACAAATGACGGTTGGGATGGTGTTGAGCGAGGGTCAGGGTGTACATGCAGATTTTCATTGTATATATTGATGATTCTAAGTTTTGTAAATAGTATACCCTTTACGGCAGCATTCTGCTTGTTGCTAGCAATGATGAATAGAGCTATACGAAGTCCATCTTTTAGCTTCGCATACCTTATTATTTTGGGAATTTTTGCCAACACACACTGCAAAAGAATGGCATCCTCAGACGGCCAGATAATCCTTCCTCCCAAATCAGACGTGACACGATGTCCCGTCCATCACGCACTTGTGTGTCCCATCTGCCTCTCTGGGGAGGACTAGTGCGACAGCACCGGCAGAGATGTGATGACCGTGCTCAAGCTGGGAATCTTCAGAGCACAAGTACCTGCAGCCAGACGTAATGTGCAACCAGCCAACATTATACGCAGTGGTGATCCAGCCAGACCAACGTATATAGACCCTTCACCTACCTGCCCACTGATCCAACCCTCCATAGTAGCTACCGCACACCTCAAAACCACATCCCTCTCTAATACTTACTATCCCCACATCAAGATGAAACCCACCATCCTCCTCCCTCTCCTTCTCCGGCTCGCAACCACCCACCCCACCCCCCAAGACACCATCACCCCCAGCACCATAACCCCAGGCCACGCCATAATCCTCAACACATGCGCCTTCCCCATCTATGCATGGTCCGTCTCATCCATAGTCGGCCCGCAAATCACCATTCCCGCAGCTGCACCCATCACCAGCAGCAGCAGCAACAGCAACAGCACCACCCAACAATACTCCAACTACACGGAACCCTACCACCACGACGCGCAAACCGGCGGAGTGAGCATCAAGCTCACGACTCTCCGGAACGGACTGTATACGGGCGCGCCGCAGACCATCTTCGCGTATAACTTTGTCGAAGGGCAGAACCAGGTGTGGTTTGATTTGTCGGATGTTTATGGCGACCAGTTTAAGGGGAGGAGGGTGAGTGTGCAGGTTAGGGTTGTGCAGGGCGGTGAGAATAGTGGTGGGTGGGAGGAGAGTATTGTTTGGGAGGATGGGGTGCCGGTCGGGGGGAGTCAGGTTAGGGTTGTCGGGGCGGAGAGGGATTTGGTGGTTAGGTTGTGTTCGTAGGTTCTCTTTGGGGTTTAAGGGGGTGGAAGAGAGGAGGTGGGTAGTATGTTGATCCTGATGTGAGTGATGTTGAATGTGATTTTGTTTATTTATTGGGTTCAATGCTTGTTGTTCGGTCAGTAGAGGTGGAATAAGGGTCCTATGGCTGGATAGGTTCTGCTGGTGGGTATTGTGTGATTAGTATAGTAGGTAGTATGCAACTTGGGTAAGGTTGTATGACTTGCCTGCGTGTATGGGGTGTAGGTGGAGGATGTTTGGATCGTAGGTAGGGGATGTAGAAAGGCAAGCAGATGCTGGCTGCGAGAGATGTTTGGATGAGGATTCTGGTAGGCATTGTGTCACAGTAGAGATGTGGTGACGTGATGAAGATGTAGTGGAGGGTGCTTGAGCAGATAACTATAGATGTATCATCTGCCTGAGGCTTCAAGGCACAACAACCCTATGAATTGGACGGCTTCTTGACTTGCTTCATAGAGATAGTGGCGGTTTACAACTCCCTCCCCTTGATTGGTGCCCGCGAGTCCCATGACCCCACGATTTCGGCCCCAATCATTGATAGTGCATCCTCCAGCTGCCGCCCGATTGGACCCGAGGCTGGCTCGGGCCTGCAGATAACTTAGCAGAAGGGAGACTAGTAGCATACTTTACAGTTAGCACTCTCCCTGATGATGCGAAAAAATGCGGGGACCCGATGTGGGGGTCGGAAAATAACCTGGAGTAGGCTCCAACATAGCTGTCATGATGCATCTCTCCACCTCCAGACATCCAGATAAGCAAACATCAGGCCACACTCGCAGAATGCAATCACCCCCCTAGTCATCATGGACAGGCCTTCCAAGCGGCCGCGGCTGTCAATGGCCTGCAACATCTGTCGTCAGCGCAAGGTCAAATGCGATGCAGAGTATCCTAAGTGCCGCAATTGCCGCCTGCGCAATCAACAGTGTATCACCACCGATCCCCAGCGACCAGGGGTGACTGGAATTCGAGAATGGCTGGATATACCAGACAAACAGACTCCCCAGAATGATGATCAGCCTCAGCATCCGGCAGTGGGTGATTCGAATCACCAGGAAGCGACCGACTCCCCACAGAAGCTGTCGCCAAATGAGGTGTCGCCTGTGCATCATCCGTTCGACGTCTCGTTTAACGTGGAACACGGCACCGACAAGGTCAAAATAATGGGTGGAAGCAGTTCGCAATGTTTGGCGAAATCTCTCGATGTCTACTTCAAGGCCGCCCGATTGAAACCAGTATCGGGTTGCTTCCGGTACGGGATGAGACACGCGGAGGAACTCGACCTGCCGTTATCTCTGTCTTTGCCGGAGCTACCAGACAGTGACCGGCGAGAACGATATCTATCCGCCTATATCACTCGCATACACACTCTCTATCCTATCTTTAACACAACCCGGCTTCGCATGGGTACTGACCTCTTTGCCACGGCGGGTGGCTTCACCAACCTTCCGCGCGAGCAAATCCCGCGGATCGTATCAGCATACTTGATCATGAGCTTAGGAGCAGACGAGATAGGCCAGGGCGCAACAGTGGACGGTGATCGCTACTTGCAAGCAGCCGCGTGTCTGCTATCTCATGTTATCATCATCCCGTATCTTCCGACCGTGCAGACACTGCTTCTTTTCACCATGGCATACCGCGGACGGAACCAGGAGGGTCTAGCCTGGCAAACTCTAGGCATGGCTATTCGGACTGCTTACACGCTTGGAATCAACCGGACTTCTACCTCCAACTTCGAAGGAAAGAACATCGAGCGACGCGTGTGGGCCGTGTGTTGGTGTCTGGAGAAGATGATGCATCTGGAATCGGGACGGCCGACTGTCATCGGATATCAGCATCCTAAGCCAGAAGATGCTCTAGGCGAGAGTAAATTCCTGAAGTGGCACGTCGAGCTTGGAGAATACCAAGGCAATATCAGTCATCATCTGTACAGTCATCAATCAGGGACAAGGGACGTGCGACAGATCCTCTTGGACACAGCGCGACTAGACCGCGAGCTGCTATCCTGGGCGAACCGGGTCCCTACCGACCTACGTCCGGGAAGTGATATCTTTTGCGCAGATGAGGAGTTTCACGCCGCCGCTTTTCTGTCCATCCAGTACCACAGCACCCTGATTTCGCTGCATCGCGCGGCTCTTATTGCCCCGACATCGAGCTTCGAGGAGGAAGTGGCGAAATATTGCTCCGATGAGCCATCGCAGTTTCGAATGCGTCATGGAGAGTCAATCTGCGTGGGCAGTGCTCGAGCGATTGCTAAACTTAGTGTCCAGCTGTCAGAACGCAAGACAGACTCGCAGACTATCCCGGCTGGCCCGTCCCTTCTGGCTTGCATTGTACTGGCTATCTTTCTGATTAAGCATCCGGGTTCGCGGTTGCAGGCCATGGATTTGCAGGTATGCTGTTCTCCCACTTACTCTGGAATTAAGTTAACGGGAACAGCTTCTCAAGGCATGTCTAGAGTATAGTAGTCAGCACCTATCTCGATACGATCCCGATCCCCGATTCATAGAAGGTATGATGGCATGAACTATGAGGGGAGCGTATCAACTAAGCTAAATAGGTATCGCGGCTATCTACGAACAATGCAACACCCATCTCCGGTCCTGGTCGGCCGCAGAAGCCAAAAGGCGTCCACACAGTCGTGACAGTCTCACAAAACTTAATCCACTTCCTACCCCAGCAGTTGACGAGGCGCTGCCGCCTTGGAGGCCTACCGAAGTGATGCAGCCAAGTAATCTGCACAAACAGAGCAATGGTGGATACCAATCTCAGCGTGTGATACAATCAGCCGTATCTACACCTGCTATAGACCATGGCCAAGACCATCTAGACTCATTAGGATTTTCCAGCACATCAATGCTAGATGGGTTTGTCGCGGAGGGCGTCAACGTGGACCAAGTATTCCCTTTCGAGGGATACAATGTGGAAGAACTGTGGAATTGGATGGGATGCTTGGATAGTCCGGGGTCGATGCCTGATATACGATAGTTCTCGACGGGGAAGACAAGTAACTGTAACTAGTAAGAATCAACAATTGTAACATTCAATACAAACTACACAATCAAACAACAAGAGACTTCTAGCAACATCACAACAACACACTAACAACATCTAAGCAGCAACCTCGGCACCCCCCTCCATCCTCTCCAAATACGGAATCCCCGTCAACTTAAACACCCTCTCACTCAACACCGGCTCCTGCACCGGCCTCTCCCGCGCCACCGGACAGGGCTTCCCATCCCTCATAGCAATATTCGTCTTCGAGACATGTTTGGCATGCGGCCAATGCGTCGTTCCCAACCGACCTACCAAACACTCCATTAGCATTTCTCCAAACCTACTTCCTCACCACAACAACCCCGCCCCCAAAAATAAGGAATGGAAATAAACTCACTCTCAAAAGCCCCCTTCTTCCTAACCAAATCCTCCTTCTCAACCTCCCTCACCGGCATAAAGCAGGTATAAACCGCAAACCGATCCTGCCCACCCGTCGGAGGCACATTATAATGCGGCGTGCGACTATCCCAGACAATCAAGTCGCCGGGCTCAGCACAAACCTTCTCCCATTTTAGTCCATGGTCCGCGAGCCACTTCATCCCCGCATCAGTGAATCCGAACCATTCGGTCGTCCAGGCGGGGATGCGCTCTTCGTGCGCCATTTCGGTGTGGAATTGGGCGGAGAGCGCGTGCCCGCCTTTGCAGACGATGAGGCCGCCGGCGTTGGGGCCGTTGGGGAGCAGGTTGACGAGGCCTTGGAGGCCTACCATCATTCCATATTAGTTGATTATTTGGATGAAATAAGGAGTAGGGGTTGGAAGGGGGAAGGGAACGTACATCTGAAACCTGGTTTGGAGGGGTCTTGGTCTTGGTGGGGCCAGGGTTTGCTTTATGCATATTAGTATCCATCTTTTCGTCACTTGAGAGAATGGAAGATGGTAGTGGTGGTGGTATAGATACTCACTTCTCAGGCAGATCCTCCCGACTACACACACAGAAACCAACATATTAGCATCACGACACAGCAATACCAGGAGAGAAAAATAGGAGAGAAATACTTAGCAAATCCCACATTCACCACATCAAACGAAACAATCAAATCCTCATCATCATACACCTTCTTAAAAGCATCCACTACCCCTTCCTCACCACGAATATCCCACACCCACTGCTCGTGCGTCACGCCGTAGTCGAGTATCATGCCTTTTTCATTCAGCACGGGGAGTTTGGCCCGTCGGACGGTGCTGGGGTCGTGTCGGTTGTAGCCGAGGTTACTGTCACCAATTTCAATTAGTATTTGGTCTATGATATAGGGAATGCGGATGGCGGGTGGGTAAGAAAAAGGGTGATTACAATCCCTCCATATACGAGTAAAACGCATCCGCGTATCCATTCGCCCGATCAAGTGGAATCGCTCCCTTGATGACGGCGTAGCCGTCGCGGTTCAATGCATCGCGGAAGTCGCCGTAGTTGGTGGGTTTGCCGTCTAAAAGCATGCGGTTTTGCCCTTGGCCGTAGACTTGGCTTTTGGGAGGCTCCGCGGTGGTGGTCGTGGTTGTGGTGGTGATAGTGGCTGTGGTGGACATATTGATTGTTTGTTGTTGTTATTGTTGTAGTACTGGTTTGTTTCGGTGTTCGCTGTGAAGTGTGGGTGAGTGTGGATTGAGGTAGGTGCTGGATTCAGTCTGTACTTATCTTCGTGGATTTGAATCTTTGTCAGATTGCCATTTGGTAAAGGTATAGTGAGTGGTTTACTTGCGCCGAGAGGTGGCCGAGTTTGTTAGGGTTCGGAGGGCTCGGGGCGCCCCGAGGTGGGCTCCGAGGGTCGGTCGTCGCCGAGAGATGGATGCCGCTTTGATGGAACGGTTATGATTATGACAAAAAGGTGCAATTACCCCCCTCACTCCTTCTTATTGAGAGTAATTGCAGAAAGGCAATCATCATGACATTTAATATCATCATAGTAGGAGGCGGCATCGCCGGACTCGCAGCCGTATGTACACACATCCTTCTTGACTCTAAGCAAAACTAACAGAAGGAAAGGCAATAGCTCTCCGCTCAGACCACCACACCATCACCATTCTCGAGCAATCCTCCCAATCGCGCGAAATCGGCGCAACTATCTCCCTCCAACCCAACGCCAGCAAAATCGTCGAGAAGCAATGGGGCCTCGCGGGCCGTCTCCGCGAGCAGGGCTCGATGCCTGACTCCGCGTTCGAGGTATATAACCTCCGTGGGGAGCTGCAGACACGCGTTCCTTTGGTGACCTCCAAATACGGCTCAGATAGAATGATCTATCACCGGGTGGATCTGCATCAGGTGCTGAAGCATCGGGCTACCTCGGATGAATATCCGGGGCGGCCGGCTACGTTGCGGGTGTCGAGTAGAGTGAAAGGATGTGATTGTGAAGAAGGGGTAGTTGAATTAGAAGATGGGGAAATTCTGAAAGGGGACTTGATCATCGGTGCAGACGGGATCAAGAGCGTTATAAGAGGTGCAGTACTGGGGAGAGAAGTGCCCGGTCAGACGACGGGGTTGAGTGCATATCGCATGATGGTAAATACGGAGGAGTTGGTTGCTGAGAAGGGGTTTGTGGATGTCATCGATCCACGAATTGCGAGGACAACGATGGTTGTCGGTCCTGATCGACGACTTATCATGGGTCCGGCGAGGAATGGGTCTGTTTATAGTATTGTTGCGCTGGTGCCGGACGAGAAAAGGGATAAGGAGTCAACGAGTTGGATGACTGCTGGTGCTAAAGGGAAGATGCTTGCTACGTTTGCGGACTTCCCCGAGTGGGCGACGACGCCGTTGCGGCTGGCAGCCAGAAAAGAGGAGGATATTGGTCTTTGGCAGTTGAGGGACTTGGATCCGTTGGAGACGTGGTGTCGGGGGAGGGCAATCTTGATTGGTGATGCTGCGCATGCTATGCTGCCGACGCAAGGGCAGGGCGGGAGTCAGGCGGTTGAGGATGCTGAGGCGCTTGGGGCTTTCTTTGAGGGGTTTGAGGGGGGTGAAGGGAGGGAGGAGGTTGGAAAGATGTGTCGGGAGGTATTTGAGTGTCGGTATAAACGGGCGACTACGATTCAAGCCTATAGTCGCCAGGCGGGAAGGCCGGTGGAGGAAGATGTGAGGGTCGCGATGAATCCTGCCGAGTTTATGGATTATAATTGCTTGTATGAGGGGGCGATGGCCTGGAGGAGGCAGCAGGAGGCTATAGTTGCTTGATTAATCACAGGTTATTATATTCTCATTTCATCCTGATACCACGATTCTAAGATTGTTCTGTGAATATCTGGAAAAAGATTGGGACAACATTAGCCTATCAATAACCCGGATAGGCTATCGATGCCCAATACCCGCACCCAACGCATGGATGACGGGTATCTCCAAGACTTCGTTGGCGTAGATACGCAATCTCTCAGACAAATATAAAATCATCAGCCAGTTTCTCTGACGGGTCACTCAATACACAGCCTAAAGCGAAATTATAAACTCAAGCGTGCTTGAAGTTAAACCCTCAAATACGCGAAAATGGAAGAGCCAACTTATGATCAGAGGTATATGACCCACGTGCCCCCGTGACGCCATCTCTAATTCAAATAGTCGTCCCATGCCAGCCCTAGAACTTGTCTATGTACACAATATCGTCAACTGTCCGGGAAAGACAATCGTTGGCCTGCGCGTGGATTTCCCCCCAAACGGATCGACTCCACCCCATCGACACGGCGGCGCTTCGGTCTCTGCCTACGTTGTTAGCGGCACACTTCTAAACAAGATGAATGAAGACCCAATGAAGGTGATTCCTGCAGGAGGCTCTTGGTATGAAGCCCCGGGTTGCCATCACCGCATCAGTGACAATGCCAGTTCGACAGAGCCGGCCACACTCATGGCTGTTATGATATTGGACTCGGAGGTATACGAGCGCGATGGGATGTCAGCGTTGTTTCAGATTGATGAGGAGTACAAGCAAAATTAGAGTCGTTAATTAGGCCTAACCGCCCTGACACTAAGCAGTAGCTGAGGTGGCGGGTGATTGTGTTGGAGTTGAGCACTTACAAGGACTGAGGTCAAGATCGTGATGTGTAATGGGCCATATATCCATATCTTTCTTATATGTAATGGATTGTCATCTCTCGCGATTTCGGCTATTTCTGTCCCTGATGACAGCTTCCATCAGCATTTACCCCAGGGTGGTATGAACTGGTCAACCTGGTAAAGCGATGACTTAAGAGGAGAGAGAACGAACAATGGGGGATGGAGCACCCATGTCTGAGCATCTATATTAATTGCAGGCTAGGGTGTAGTAGTGAGATGAAGAGATAGTTCTTCCAGAAAACGTTGCCATTAATCATCGATATTTGCTCTGTGCTTTCTGCACCATATTTGTAGCAAGGATCCGGGTTCCTGTTCCGGAAAGTTAGGGCGCAGGCTCGGCCCCACCGACCGAGAAGCTGGATAATTTGTCAGCCCAGATAGCAAGATAGAAATTGAACGCCCATGTTTAAACAGACGAATACTATCTAATTCTTGAGAGAAGACCAAATTGTGGGACGTAAAAGCTGTTATACTCATGGCGACCGTAGCACCTAGACGCGTCACTCGGCTGACGGCCAGGTAAGCCTCAATTTCTAGATCAATAGGAGACCAACTAACCAAGCAACAGGACACTATCCAAGAGGACATCAATTCTCACACCCTTCATAAACTCAAGGATGAGCTCCTCGTCTGCTGCAGTGGAGCAGCAACGTCTTCAGAAATAGACGATGCCACTAAATCAGCAAAAGCCAGCTATCAAATCGTCACCTCACACCACAACTTCCACGAAACGGAATCGCAAAGACCCAATTTTGATCACAACGCCCCCATCAGTGTCACCAAATCCCCTTAGCCCAGCTGGGAATACGGCCAAGGAGTCCCCGATGACAACCACAGCGCCAGCAATACCCACCATGAAATCGATCCCTATGCTGAGGATCGCCCAATGGTCAACAATTATCGACTGCTCGTGTCAGGCATCGCACCCCGACCCATCGGCTTCATCAGCACCGGCTCCAGCGATGGCAAGACCGAGAATCTTGCGCCCTTCAGCTACTTTCAAGTGGTGGATCACGACCCACCCATGTTCATTGTCGGGTTTTCATCCCGCCCTGGCGCAGTCAAAGATACGTACCGGAACCTGAAAGAGACGGGCGAGTGTGTGATTAACACCGTTTCCGAGGGGATGATTGAGGCAGTGAATGCGACATCGATTGATGCTCCATATGGGGTGTCAGAGTGGGAGGTCTCGGGACTGGGTAATGCGCCTAGTTCGACTGTCAAAGCAGCAAGGGTTAAAGAGTCGGTTTTCTCTGTCGAGGGAAAGGTTGTCGATGTTAAAGAGCTCGAGGCGCATAAGCCGGGCATGAGTTCTCCTGCGGTGGTTTTGATCCAGGCAACGAGGTTCTGGGTGCAGAAGGGTGCAGCGGATGAGGAGTTCAGTCATATTGACTTGGAGAAGTTGAGGCCTGTGGCGCAGCTAGGTGGGGTGTCATATGGGAGAATTTCGTCGACGTTTGAGAGGCCTAGAAAGAAGTGGGATGATGAGGTTGGGAAGAGTGAGTTGTTGGCTGAGTTGGAGAGGAATAAGGGCGGTTTGTGAAAGGCTTTTGCCTTTTTAGGGCTATTGGATGAATGTCTTGAAATATATGCACATCCTTGAGTAGGCAGTACTCAGGATCAGTCTGAACAAGATGTATCCCAACATCTCAGTAAAGTGCAAACACGCATTGTGTTGTGGCATACTACTATACTTGTATCTTAATGCCTTAATTTCCAGGAAGCAAGATCATCGCCAGATAAGGTAAGGCGGACATCGGAGTCATTCCGACGGACCGGCATCGGCCCTTGTACCCGACGACCAGTGACTGTTCAACGGCCATTCCAGAAGTACATCTAAGTGCAGAGCCAAAGACAACAAAACATACATAACATAAACGTACACTTTAAGCTGACTTCATCATGTCTTTCTTTCGTGTATCTATAAGGGCTCTACCGGCCAATCTGCTCCCCCGCCAGCACATCGCCCGCCGTACCATTGCAACAGCAAGCAAGAAGGAATGGCTATGCATTATTCCTGATACACCTGAGGGTCCCGAACTGAGAAAGAAAGTTCGAGCGTAAGTTTTCTTCTACTCCCATCTAGGTGTAGCCTAGCTCAACTATCCTCGCTAACAATAACCAGGACTCACATGGAAGGAGTCGGCCCTCTCGTCCAGGCGGGAAAGCTAGTCGCAGGTGGTTCGTCTCACATCATCCTACCAACTTCTATTCGAACCCTCTTATCTGTCTTTTTTCAATTAACTTCATCTTGATAGGTGCGATGCTGGCCACTCATCCCGAGGAAGGCAAAGATCTGTCATTCAAGGGCAGTATGCTTGTGTATATGGCTGAAAACTTGGAGGAAGTGCACCAGCTTATTAACGGTGATATCTACGCTAAGAGCGGTGTTTGGGATCTGGGGAAGGCGCTTGTTGTCCCGGTGAGTGATTCGCTTTTGTTCTTTGGTCATGGTGCTGTGAGATAGGTTATGCTGATGGTGGCTGTGGGCAGTATCTGTCGGCTGTGAGGGAGCCTTTGAAGAAGGAGTAGAGAGCACTATCTAGAATGATATTGGTGCTATTTTCCCTCAATGTATTAGAGAGCGGCCATCGTTGAGCGCATATAATCTACTACGGCACTTGAGGCAGTTTGAGCCTCAACCTACCAGATATGCACTAAGCATGTGTTCTCTCGAAGTATTCCTGATAACTCGCCGAAACTACTCAGACAGGAACGTAGTGTATGGCTGCAGCCATAATCTGTGCCACATTTGGTAAGCCCTTGCGTTGGTGGCATGCAGGTAGTGAGGGACACTGCAGAAACTTACCTAGCCACATAATGCATGAATCAACACCTTTTTCAAGAACAAGGGACGATGGCGCATCTGGGAGCGCGTCAGACTGAAGATCTGGAGGTGGCCGGTTCAAGCCCGGCTCGTCCCATTCTTTTTTTCAAAATTTTTTCCGAATCCCGGCCTGGTGGGTCCCATTTGGCCTCATACAACAAACGACAAATACGAATACGGATGTGTTGGAGGTATGGTAAGACGTTTGATTGCAATGATGGGGGAGAAGACAGTTGATGTTGGTCTTTCTTGGAATTTGCTTCTATGGCTCGTATATTTTAATTGATTGTCAAAGGATGTCCCTTAATATTCCTGGTCCTCCCCCGTCGTTGGCTGTGGGTATATCCGAATGCATGGACTAATCGTTCGATGAAATGCAAATAAACGTCAGGGTCGTGCTCCTTATGAGGGAATACATGGGCTGGTACTGCTACTATGGCCTTGGTTCACTGTACTAATGTATCCATTCGACGCCTTATATGATGACGAGCAACTAAATAAAGGGAGGTACATAATGTTCTTCGGCTTAATGTGCGGATATATATAGTTGTGAGTGCAGCCGACATTGATAGTATCAAAACCAACCCATTTCGACTAAGCCCGGCAATTTGCGACCACTAAGAGGCCAGAGAGCAATGGCAGAGTTCATCAAAGCAGGAGCCTCACCATAAGTTTTAGTCGTAGTTATATTGACTCTTATGGCACATCTCATGCTTGTGCTAGCAAATTAGCCCCCTTTAATGTAACACTATGTGGGACCAATTATATATCAAATGGCCTGCTGGCCCAATGGTAAGGCGCTTGACTACGGATCAAGAGACTGCAGGTTCGAGTCCTGCGTAGGTCATTCTTTTTTTAAACTTCTTTTTTCCCACTTCTATCCTTTCTCTACTACTTGACAAAACAATCAGGCGACCCTTCAAAGTACCCGCCCATATATTTAAATCACTTGTGCTCCATTATTACCCGTTATTAATATCCTCGACGAACTGTGTCACACCCTATCATCGAATCGACGTTCACCCAAAGTCTCCACTTTGTACAGCCATTTAATTCCGTACACCATTTGATCTAATCAACCATTACGTCTATAAGATCCTCAATATCCTTCACGGTGACATTCTTTTGCATCTCCCGCGCCAGTGACACGGCACACGAGACAATGTTCTTGATCTGCAGTACATGTTAGCTTGCTTTTTACCTCAAAAATACCGAAAGCTGACGAACCTGTCGCCCATTCAGCGGATGCCTCGAAAGCGCTACAAAGTCATCGGCGGTAAATTCAGCCAGCTCCGACGATTTTGCGACATTGGTCAAGAAATTCTTCCACACCTCTAGCCGGCTATTGGTATCAAGCTCTGGGTAGTGCATGGTGAAATGGATTCGACCTGTGATAAAGGCATCAGGAACTGCATACACTATACTTTCAGGCGGAATCTTACTTTTGAAGGCCGGATCAATGTCGCTCTTTCGGTTTGTGGTGAGTATGGCAACACCGCGGAAACTATGATGGATATTAGTCCAGGCCGACATTTCCTACCCAAGGGCTACTTACTACTCGAGTCGTCGGAGAAAAACGCTGACTAGAGCATCTCTCGCTAGGTCCTTGCCACGAGCCGAAAGGAACACATCTGCTTCATCGATCAATAGAACACAGCCCCACCGCCGGGTAATCTCTAAGATCATCCCCAGACGATTGTCGACTATATCAGGGTCGATTCCAAGCTCGCCGGTAGCTACCACATACAGAGGTCGCTGGGTCACCTCGGCAACGGCTTCTGCAGTCAACGTCTTACCCACACCCGGGCTTCCGGTCAGGAGCGCAATAAGACCTTTGCCTTTGTTCGCAACGATATCGTCAAAGACCGCGTCATCCTGCCGATGGGCCTTGACAAGTCCATGGATAAGTTCTCGGCGGTTTTCGGCCATGACCAGTCGTTTGAAGGCATTGTGGTTCCACTCCACATCGGATAACGCCGATACCGAAAGTTGACACCAAGACTTTTGTGCGAAGCTGAAGCCATTGATGAACGAGGCACAAATCAAGTAATGGTCATCAGACAAGCCGACAGTATCCAAAAACCCTTCTGATAGTACATACGGTTTGTTCAAATCCGACGATGTGTTATGAAGATAGTAACCAGCCGGGTCGACCATGACTCTCCCCAATGCCTATATGAGTGAGTCAGCGCCAATGTCCAAAATGGAGTAAGAGTTGTAGTCAGACATTAAACTTCTCAGGCATGGAGTCGCCGTTGGCTCGTTCAAATTCCTTTATACCGTTTGCAGCCGTATACTCTCTGCATGCAGGCTGTTCGAGTAGCGCAACGAATTTACGCCCGCGGGCAATGAGCCTTTCTCGCACGGCAGATTCCTCGTCATGGTATTTGAGCGGAAAGAAGTTCAAGCCAGTTATTGTTCTCGCACCCTCATATTTGTTGATTTCTAGCTCCATTGTCGATTTACCAAAGTCTTGACCGTCATGTTTGATAACTTCGGCAAAAGCAGAGAAGTATTGTTGGCCATTTGGACGTGACTGATAACTAGACATCTTCAGGTTGAAGGCCTGCTCTTCAGTCATAAGGCCAAACCGGGGTGAGATAATAACTTCCTTGGGCGGGAAGATTGCCCAAAGAAGGTCCCAGGTGATCTGATTCTCACTCAGAAGCGATTTCAAGCTGACGATCTGAGCTGCAAAGTCCTCTTCAACAAATTGCAGAGCCGTGCCAATATCATCGATAAGTTGCTGGTTGGGTTTCTCCTTCTGCTTCTCCTCTTCTTTAATACGTATCAGATCCGGGGCGGCCCAGAAGAATACTTCGGGTGTGGCCTAAAGAGGTTCATCAGTCAGTGGAGCTGCAAAATTCCGTTTGAGCTGACGAACCATGGGAGGAGTCTTATTCAAGTCAAGACCCTCTACATCTTTGAACAGATCACGAAACAAATCTTGCAGGAGAGGAGACCGGATGTCAATCTCAACGTGGGAGACCATGCCCTGCTTTGAAATAACTCGGCGAACGACCATTGCAGTCTTACTGAAACGATCGGGTTTGGCTTTGACTTTCGCCGTCTTAACGAAGTGAACTTGTCGGTCCTTTCTGTATCCATGTTAATGATTCGGCTGTCTGAGGTTCGACGCAATGTTTCGCTACCTGCTATATCTGTTGGAGCGAACTATGGTTAGCACCCTCTTTACCAAGACCTAAGGTACGGTCTCAAATCTCACATTTGATCCACGCGCAACAAACGCTGAGACTTGTTGCCACGGTCCGTCATGGCGCGCTGGATGGATGGCTTGGAAGGCCCGTCTGAGGGCTTAGCCGCCGCCGCGGACTCAGTCTGATCGGCCATGTCGTTTTTGCGTGCTGAAAATGGCTACAGTGGCACATGAAATGAGAGAACAGACGAATTTTGAACGAAAGGTGAAAGAATTGGCAACTGGAGTAACTTATGCTTGGAAAAAACAAGGCTGTCGACACTTGGCTCGTATATGGGAAGTGGGCCAGGGCTTTGCAGTGGGGGTGGCTGCTGATGCTGTCCAAGGCTTCAAGCTCATCCTTCCCAGTCCATGCGTCAGCACAGCGACAAAGTCGCGCCACCATTTCTGCCCAACTCAATGAACCAAAAGACTTCCTTCTCTTATGAAAGTGGAGGTAATAACCTATTATCCGGGAAGTTCTTTGTACAGAACTTTTTCTTTTTCACCAATAGAGGCTAACCCTGCTGCCTTTCAGGGTCTCGAGACGACAGGGTGTCGAGCCGTGCCGCGCGGCGCTAACCCTGGCCCCCCGCAGGATCACTCAGATTTTAGTCTGACAGCCTTGTCACTTGTCACACTAGGTTAATTATATGTGGCTAGTTATTCTCACGCAAGGTCTGACGTGTGCACCGGCGGGGTAGATTGCAGACTGTCTTCTGTCCTATTTCTCAGAGTAGTGAGGCGCGCATAGTCCCCAGCATAGAGCCTCCCGGTGGGACCAGACCCGGTCTATTACTTATAGTTATCATCTCGCGTGATCTCAGCAAACCATTCTGGTCCTTGACAAGGCTGCCGATTGTGCCATTTTCTCACAATGCCCGAGGATTTCAGCGAAAATGTGGGAGGAACCGGCTCAACTGCCTTTGCGCGTGCGCTGGAAGAATATATCAACAAACCCCGATCGGCGAGAAGCAAGACCCCCCATTTTCTCAAAAAACTGCAAGAACAACAACGTTCCGGCGCAAACCTTACTGGAGATGCGGTCAAAAAAGATCTATTCCTTTTGGACCGCCAGGCGACAGATCGTACAGCCGCTCGTGCCGCTCGCAAGATCTTGGGACCGGTGATACAGGTGCTGAATACCTACTCAGGAATTGTCGAAACACTGGTCTCAGCAGATCCAATGCCTACGGCTATCATATGGGGCTGCTTGAAGTCTGTGATCGACTGCTCGCAGAGGTTCCTTGAACTCTACGAAAAGATATCCGATCAGATTAAACGCTTAAACACACACATCACCGTGCTTACAGAATATGAAGATTTATTCGATCACTCCGCTACGATGCGGGAGCTCTTGCAAGCATCGTATATCGACATCATTCGGTTTTGGCGAAGGGTTGACAAGGAGTGTAACCGCTGCGTGGCTAATCGTGCCTTTCGAGCGATTGCCCCTTTCAGTACAGAGAAGCTCGATGGCATTATCACGAGCATCGGAGATACGGCCGACAGCATGAGTCGTCTTATTCCTGCCGTTCAGGAACGCCTAGACAGAGGAGAGCGGGAAAATGCAGCCGAGGAGCGTCGGCTTGCCGGTATCGCGCGAGAAGAACAAGCAGCACTTATCCAA